GATAAGTTTGAAATACCTGCACACTATCCAATCAGCAATGACCTGGAGCTCAGGAGAGACACTAGGGCTGGATTTATAGATTTAGGAATCATCTTTTTGGGGATGATAATTGAACACATGGATGCTAAATAGATCATCAAAGAAGATAACCAGCCCAAGGTTACAAGGTTTCAAGGAAGAGAGCTAGGATTTGAACCAGGCTCTCTGATTCCATATTCACTGCTCATTCCACCACCACACACTGCGTTTTCAAAAAACCATCCTTGCCAAGTGACTGAAATAAACCACCCTGATTCTCAGCTCCATGTACAGCCTAGTTGTATCCCTTTCTGCCTGCTAACAAGAGGTGTAGCATGCAAGGATAATGTAAATGTGGGCCTGGGGGAAGTTGATTTTGTAATGAGCTAATGTAACTGATTGACAGAAACAGAACAATGATGAGAAAGGTAGACATGGGATGAAGATACAGAGCAGATTGCTAACTGAGTTCAAAATACAATTATCAGCTTCATCATTGCCAGACAGGGGAGTTGTGCTGAGACAAGGCTTCCTTGTTTAAAAGATCCCAGAGGTTTAGTGACCACAAGCTGGATATGGAAGCTATAAAAACAAACAAAAATTTAAATTGCACTAAAAGAGATCTAGCATCCAGAATCAGAGAGGTGATCATTCCACTGTCATCTGCCCTAGTCAGATCATACCTAGTGTACGGTACTTAGTTCTGGGCTCCACAATGAAGGAGGAGTAGGGTTGAGCCAAAGAGCATCTAGAGAAAACTTACCAGATTATTGAGGGATCATAGGATCACAGAAACTGGAAAGGATCTTGGAAGTCATCTAATCCAAAACCCTCTTAATTTACCTATAAAGAAACTGAGTCCCAGAAAGGTTGGATGACTTTCCCAAGGTCATATGAGTGGTAACTGGTGGAGTTTAGGTCTAGGTTCAAATTCCAGTCCTCTCACGCCAAATCACATATACATTACACTGCACCATATAGTCTGGGCACCATGATACATGCCTGCAATCCCTGCTATCAGGTAGGCTGAGATTGGTGGATCTCTTGAGCTCAGAAGTTCTGAGCTAGAGCAAGCTGAGCCAATTGGGTATCTATACTAGTTGCAGCCTTAATTTAGTGAGCCCTTTAGTGATTGGAAGGCCATCAGATTGCCTGAAGAGGGGTGAATCAAACCAGGTTGGAAATGGAACAGGTCAAAGGTCCTGTGCTGATCAAAGTGGGATCAGGCCAATGAGTAGTCCTGCATTTCCATACCAGGTGAGATAGGGTGATCTAGTCTAAAACAAATAAACAAACAAACCAAAAACAAAACAAAACAAAACACAGTACTACACTGCCTGGATGCTATAGTATAGGAAAATCGGTTGAAGAAACAGGGAATGTTTAACCTAGAAGAACAGAAGACTTGGGCAGGGATATGGGAGGGGGAGCATGATAGCAGTCTCTAAGTTTTTGAAGGATCTATATATGTGAAGGAGGCATTAGGTTTGTTCTGCAAGACCCCAGTGGGGCAGAACCAGTGGCAAAGGGAGGGAGTTTCAGAAAGACAGATTTGGGCTCAACTCAAGGAAGGATTACCTGAAAGAGTTCTATTCAGAAGTAGATTGGGCTTCCCTAGGAGGTAGTGTGTTCCCATGACTAGTCTTCAAGTATATTTAAGACATTTCAATTAATACATGTTGCAAACTTTGTTGAGGAGATGCCTTTTAAGGCAAGGGTTACACAAGATTCCCTCCAGCTCTGAGATCCTGTGGTTCAGTCAAAGTGTCAAACATGCTAAAGAGATTCTCAGTTATAAAAAATCAGGAGCTAGTGGGGCAGTAGTTAGTGAAACTGGTTGGGTGTCCAGGAAAAAGGTTTAATTCAGATGATTCCAAGCATGGGAATGAAAGAAAGCCTAACCTCTCCACCAGAAAGTAGTTTCTTCCAGAGTCAGCATGTTGTGCTTAGAGCCCATAGAGAAAGTCCTTATTTTCATCAAAGATGCAGGGCCTGGTAAGATACTTAAATGATATGTGGGTAAGAAGAATAGAATCAAGGAGAAAAATCAGATTTGTGTTAAGATGACTCTGTGATAATCAACCATCAAGAATTCATTAAATACCGGGTGCTAGGTTCTGGGGATACAAAGACAGAAAATCAAAATTATTCCTGGTCTCAAGAAGCTTGCATTCTATTAGGGGAAGCAACATATACACATGAGTAAATTCAAAAGAAATGGAAAGTAAATCCAAGATAATATTGAGCTGGAGGAGGAGTGAGACAAGCAGGTGAAGGGGACCAGAAAAATCCCTTATGAAGAATATGGTATTTGAGCAGAACCTGAAAAGAAGCTGGGGACTCTAGGAGGTAGAGGTGAGGAAGGGAGTGGCACAGTGCAGGCATAGTGGACAGTCTGGCACAGTAGGCCAATTTGATTGGGTTAGAGAGTGTGTGAAGAGGAAAGGCAACATGGTACGGTGGAATGTGGTATTGATGGTCCTGTGGGACATGACTTCAAATTCTGACTTTGCCACTTCCTACCTGTGTGGCTTTGGCATGTCATGTCACCTCACTGTACCTCAGTTTGGTTGGCCTGGATGAGCTCTGAGGTCCCTTCCAGCTCTACATCTGTTCCTATGATGCTATGAAGTAATGCGTAATAAGCCTGGCAAAGTAAGCTGGAACCAAATGAACGCTAAGCCATGTTGTGTGCATGCAATTTCCCAGCCTTCATGTCGTTAAAGTCTTTAGATGCTTCAGATTGTGGCAGAGAAACTCTTATTCATTAAATATGGTATAAATGGCTACTAATTCCCATGCCTCTGATCATGTGGGAAGGGCCAGGTTTCATTTCCAAGTTCCCCGTCTCAAGTAGCAACCTGTTTTCACACCTTCCCACCCCGACATACACTTAATCTCTTGAGTGCCATTTTAAATAAGAGACTATGTGATGTGTGGAAAGGTCACTAGACTGGAAACAGGAGGGCCTAGTCATGGTTCTTCCAGCAAACCAGAATGATGTTTTATCTTTAAATTCATTTTTGAACTTTTATTTTTTCAAGTAATAAGCATAGGATCATAAGTTTCAGAGCAGGAAGGGATCTTGGTGTTCACCTAATCTAACCCCTCCATTTTCCAGATGAAGAAACCTCATACATAGATATGAAGCAGCTTTCCCTAGGTCATGAAGATGCTATCTAGAGAGCAGAGCCAAGGTTCAAACCCATGTTACTTGACTTCCAATTGAATGCTCTTTCCACAATGCCATGCTACTTACTATGTAGCTATAGGCTAACCAGACCCCTTCTCTGGGCTTCATCTTGACCATCTGCCCAATTCATGGAGGGCTTGGACTAGATTAGCACTTCTTAAATTGTGGGTCGAGACCCCATATGGCAACAATGAAAGGTTTCTGAATGCACAACGACCAAAAATTAATTCAAAATTAAACACCTAATGAATCCAAGGTATTTCTGGAAGCCCTTGCCCATGGTGCATCAAGCAGCTTCACTGCAGCCTTGGTTCTGGACACAAAGCACGTACACTTTGCACTGCACATGCTGTCATGTCAGGCAACTCCAACAAACGCTGCTGAAACATAAAAATGGATGGTGATGGGAAAAAGTTTAAAAAGCCCTGGACTAGATGATACCAAAAGTCTCTTCCAAATCCAATAATTTGTGAATCTATGATTTTAATTAAGCAGCAGTAATGTAGCAGGTGCGTAGGGAAACCTCATTATAGGCTATCTAATCCTAGAGGTCAACCCTCTTTTATTATTCCTAATCAATCATTCAATAAGCATTTGTTAATGAGGAGTGAGACAAGCAGGTGAAGGGGACCAGTGACAAGCACTGGAAATACAAAGAATGGCAAAAAACAGCTCATACCCAAGTAGTTTACATTCTAATCTGTTCCCAGGGGAGGCAAGTGAGAGACTGGGGATATTTAGGCTGGAAAAAAGAACACTCAGGGGAAACATGATATCTTCAACTAGTGGAAGGACTGGAATGTGGAAGAGTGATTCGGCTTATATTATTTGGCTCCAGAGGGCAAAATGGAAGAAACAGGTGGAAATTACAAGGATTTAAGTTTAGGCTTGATTCAAAGAAAAACTCCCTCACATTTAAAAACTGTCCAAAGAGGGATGGCTGCAAGGAGGTGGGAGAAGAGATGTGTTAGCTCTTCAATGAAGGTCTTCAAACAGAAACTGGATGACTATTTGTTGGGCATATCATAGTGGAGATTTCCTTGGGAGTGTGGGTTGGATTAAGTGGCCAATGAGGTCCCTTTCAATCCTAAAATTTAGGGATTCTAGAATTCTGATTATATGAGGAAAGGCTCCCTGGGAGAGCTAAGGACTTTCCCAAGCTGAGTCTATATTTTCTTCCTCCACGGGAAAGTTAAAATGTTCTCTACTCAGAACTGTATAGAAGCAGGATTTGGGTAGGGGTGAAAGAAAGGCTCCCTCTGAACTCTGAAACCCTAAGCAGGTTCAATCTTCAGTGAGTCTCTCTAGTACCTTCCTTATGTCACCCCAAGTCTGGAGAGAAAAGCTGATTTATAAACTCACCTCTCTACCCACCCACTCCGGAAAATGCTTCTGGGGATCAAATCAATGTCATGTGTCTTATTTAAAATGCCTTTATTCATTCAACGGTCTTTTATTGAATATAAGTTCCTTGCACACAATTGCTTCAATTTGGTATCCCTAGGGCCTAGAACACTGCCTGTTAAATAGTAGGCACTTAAATACCTTTTGATTGATTATTGAGAAACTATAGTGTGCATAGCACTGTGGTGGGGATGGGGAAGAGGATAAAGATGAATAAGACAATCTTTTCCCTCAAAGAGATCCCTCCTGAAGGAGGAATGTGGTCCAGCCTCAGGGGGAGCCCAGGTCTAGGGGAATGGAGGGAACTTTTGTCCCACCCCCTTCCTCACAGAAGACTCCGTGTTTCCATCTTCCTCCCCTGTCCACTCTCATCTGTCACCCCCAGGAGGAGCCCTTCGTCATGTTCAGGAAGTCAGACATGACCCTCTTTGGGAATGACCGGTTTGAGGGCTACTGCATTGACCTGCTGAAGGAACTGGCCCACATCCTGGGCTTCACCTATGAGATCCGACTGGTGGAAGATGGGAAGTATGGGGCACAGGATGAGAAGGGCCAGTGGAATGGCATGATTAAGGAGCTCATTGACCATGTAAGTAAGGGAGCATGATGGGGAGTGGGAATGGATACATGGTGGTGTCTCTGGGCAATGCATGGGTCCTTTCTATTCCTGTTGTTTCCTTGATACCATGGTACAAGCACCTCCACTCCCAACACCCCTGAAGAACCCTGTCCTGGGGATACAGAGAAAAGATGCATGATATCTGACTGCATGACCCTTCAAGAGTCCCTTAGAATAAAGAAGAGGACATGGTCTTGTTCTGATGGAGGAAATAGGACCCTGGCTCTGGTTAGGGCTTTGGTTTTATGGGAGAAACAGAGCCCTTGACCTCTAATTGAGTTTTGTTTCAGGAAATTGAGGTCTCTAGATAGAAGACTTTCCTACTAACTTACTTCCCTTTCCCTCCATCACTATACGGGTTCCCTGCTCCATCACAAGTGCTCAGTCTGACTTGGCCCTTCTCTGCTCAAAACCCTAGATTCATATGCAAGGGTTATCTCAGTTCCTTGTATGTATCCACCTGCCCTAATTGGGTCTTCTATCTCAGCAGGCTTTAGCTGTGCAATCTTGAAAGAATTACTTCACATCTTTGAGTACTTAGTAAAATAAGGTGATTGAACTAGATGATGTTTAACATCTAAAGGGTCTGAGTTCAAATACTGCTTCAGACATTCACTAACAGCATGGCCCTAGACAAGTCACTTAACAGCTGTCTGCCTTGGTTTCTTCATTTGTAAGATGAGGATAATAATAGCACCTATCTTCCAGGGTTGGTGTGAGAATAAAATTAGTAAAAAAAATTGTAAAATTTGCAAACCCTAACGCACTATTACTGTTCCTGTCCTAATTTCCCCCCTTCCTCTGCTGCTTCCACTGCATCTGTGTGGCCCTCACCAGTGTGGATTTCCTTCCATATCTGCACACTCCAGCGCACGTGGGAGACTCTTTAGAGTTTATTCCTAAAGGAAAAGGAAATATACAGATTAAGAAATATGATACTAGGGGAAAGACATTATAAGTACATATAAAAATCACCCTACCCAGTCCCAAACCATAAGATTACTTTGTAAACTATTCTCTCTAACTTGACCCATTCTGAGAAAGCAACATATATAAAGGAAAGCTGTAGAGTCAGAAGACCTGGATTCTAATCCTACTTACTACGCGCCTTAAGGCAAGCCAATTAACCATTTTCCCAGCTGTAAAACTGAAGGGACTGGACCAAATGATCTCTAGAAGTCATATTTTCCACTACCACCGCCAGCCCTAAATCCTATAATTCCTCTAGTCTGGAATCTCTGCTGCTCCATGGGCACCCAGATGAACCTCCTGGTCACTGGATGGACTTTGTGATACTCAATCCACATTACTATGAAGTGATTCAATTTATCACATATTGATTCTGCATGGGTGAATGGGTTTGGCCCTTGGGAAGCCTGAAATTTTTCTCTCCCTTTCCTACTTGTGTGCTGGAAGACAGTTCAGGAATCCTCAGAAACTTCCCTGAGCAACCCTGAGCAGATGTCATGCATGGTTTTGCCTCCCCCCCTCCCGCAACCCTGTATCCCAGGAGTGGTAAGGGCAGGCCATCTGGGTAGGTAGCTGGGGAAAACTAGTAGTGTTAGGTACCTTCTGCCAGTAAGTTAAAGTTTCTGGGTTTCTTGGGCCATATCCCATAGGGCTGTAAGTCTTTACCAGAATGAAGAATGGAGTATACACTATACTGCAGCAGTTCCATGGAGGACTCCTCCCAAAGGCAAAGAGGTCACAGAGCCTAGATCAACCCTATTTCTTCTGGTTCCCTCAAGACCATGGCCAGACTTTAAGCAAGGATTTTGGTCCAGTATGCAAGGAAAAATCTTAACAATCAAAGCTCTCCAACAATGGAATGAGATGCCTTGAAAGGTAGTGATTTCCCTATCACACGAGCTATCCAAGTAGAAACTGAAAAATCACTTGTCACAGACACCATAGATGGCATGCTTCAAGTAAGAGATGGACTGGACACCATCTGAGGTCACAGCCTAAGATTCTCTAATTCCATAGAGATAGATGTTCAATTCTAGATATCCTTTAAGTAGAATCTAGAATCTCTTGAAAACAGAACTATTTTTTTATTTTGTTTCTGTGCCCACAGTGCCTAGCACAGTTCCTTGTACGTGTCCAACACCCCACCCCCCATCTTATAAATGAAAGAAGACCAGAAAGGTAAAGGGACCTACCCAGAGTCACACAGTTAGTAATTAACAGCACTGGAATTCAAATCTGAGTCCTCTGGCTCCACATCCAATGTGTGTTCATCATATGATGAAGAAACTGTTCAGATTGTATTTGATGCTGAGGAAGAGGAAGGAGGAGACCTGAAATGCCAGATTAAGGAATTTGTATTTTATGTAAAGGCAGCAGGGAGCCATCCAAGGCTTTGGAGCAAGGAAATGACATAGTCAGACCTGATGAGTTCAGAGGCATGTTTATGAAGCAGCCTTAGCAAAACACTCAATGGATGCCAGAGCTGTCCCAGGTGAAATCAAAGCTGTAAAAATGAAAGAAGACTAATCTATTGTCTTTATACACGGTGCGTTTATTACAAATTCATGGCGTTCATCAAGGCAACGGGGCATTGACGGGAGATACAGGGAACCTTGTTAAACCTGATTCGTTACAATTGATGGGCCCATTAATCCTAGCTTGGTGCCATTTTTAATAACATCATAACCATTTATTAGTGTCGTCAGATAATTAGTCTTCTCTCCAGCTCCTAGAAAGTGTAGCCAAGGCTTGGAAATATTATTGCTTCATTATTAGTTAACCCTGATGAAGCCATAACAATAAGAGGCAGTGGAGTAGAGGAAAGTGTCATGGACTTGGAATCCAAAGACCTTTAGTCATATTCTGGCTCGGCAATGTATTAGCTCTGATGGAGAGAAAGTTGCCTCCCTTTTTTGAGTCTCAGTTTCTACATCTGGAAAATGTCTACTCTGTCCATCTAACAGGGCTATCGGAAAGGTCATATGAGGTAAAAATGGATGTCAATTGCTCTATAGCACCCAAATAGTATAATTGCCAACTATTTAGTGGACAATGGGTTGGCTGCTAACACATTCACTCCTACAAACATAAAGAGGTTGGGAAGAAGAAGGAATCACTTCCTAGTAAGGTCTAAATCTTTCATAGACTCCCACCCCATGACCGTTGTTGCCTGGCCTCTATTAAAGAGGAGAAAGAAAATGTATAGCCAGCACGAGAGCAATCAGGAAAGGGTCCCCTAGAATCCTACACAGTATCAGTTCACTCATCAGTTTATGACCAACAGGTTTCCTTCCTGGATATAGATTTGGATCCTCTGTCCTCCCCTCCTTTGCCCTTTTATGCCCAGCCCTGTCCTCCTCTTTTGTCTCCTCATCTTTCCTCTCCTTCCCTCTTCTCTCCTCCCCTATTCTTCTCTCATCTTGTATTGTTCTCTCCACTCTTCTCCTCTCCAGCCCTTTACTCTCATTTTCTCATTTTCTTTCTGTTCACTTCTCTCTCTTCTCTTTCTCTCTGTTGTGTGTGTATATGTGTGTATGTATATACACATATATATACATATTCACATATATCATACACAGATATCTTTAGAATACATACATATGTATGACTGTCTTTTTATGCCTTACTTGAGGCATTCTGGAGATGTGGCCTTTTATTGTAAGTTATCTGTGTATATATCCTGTCAACCCTACCAGACTCTAAACTCCTTGAGGGCAAAAACCATGTTTTAGACTGCTTAGCATTCCCCTTCATCATTTAGCATAGGGTGTTGCTCATGAGAGGTGCTCAGTACTTATTTATGGAATGAATGAGTGAAATGCGCAACTGTAAACTTATCTGTAGGGTGGTGTAGGGCATGTGTCTTTGGGCGAGCAGCATAGTTAGGAGTGAATATGTGTCTGGATAATAATAATGATGATGACTGGCATTACTATAGTGTTTACTATGTGCCAGGCACTGTGCTAAGCCTTTTGCACATATTACCTCATTTGATCCTCATTCCAACTTGGGGGAGGGTACTATTATTCTCCTCATTTTACAGTTGAAACTGAAGCAAATGGAGATTAAATGACTTGCCCATAGTCACACAGCTAGTAAGTATCTAAGTGTCTAAGGCTGGATTTGAATTCTGGTCTTCCTGCACTCTAACCTCTATGCCACCTATTTGCTTCTATAAGATATTATGCTAATGAGTGAAGGGATTTTTGAATGTATGCATAATTTTTCATTCATTTTGGCCCTTCTGCACCCCATTCCCAGCCTGGATTTCCCTAGTTCAAGGAAGTAACATAATTCCCATTGTCCAAAAGAAGCCATACCATGGAAGATGAACCAGGCAGCATTATAATGTTCCTCTCCTTCAGGCTGTGAAGCCATGATTCAGGATAGCCCTGGCTGGGAACCTAGGCAGTAGGAATGAAACTGTCACATTAGCTCAGAGGAACTTGATATTATAAGGTCAGCTTTGAAGGAGGTCACTGGTGATGTGCCTAGGAATCTGTGCTTGGTCCTGAGCTGTTTAACATTTTTATCAATGACTTAAAGGCATTGATGACATGCTCATCAAATTTTCAGAGAGCAGAAAAACTCTGAGAGATAGCTAACATACTGGATGACAGCATCATAGTGTACAATGTCTTTGATAGACCGGAACATGGGGCTCAATCTAATAAGAGGAAATTTAATCAGGATAAATATAAAATTTTACACTTGAGTTCAAATAAAAAATTTCACAAGTGTGAGATTGAAAAGGTGTGGTTAGATAATAGTTCGTCTGAAAATGATCTGGGGGTCTTAATAAAGAGAAATCACAATATGTGTCAGCCATATGTCCTTGATTGAACAAGGTTTGTTACTGGGGGATTAAAGATAAAATTAGGAGGGGAGTGTAACAGGAAAGGCAATTGTTTGGGTTAGCTGTTTCTCATAACCATGCCCTAATAAATAAGACTGTTCTGGATACTTGCTGCTTTAGCAGAAAGGAAGTTCATAAACAGGGC